GAGTGCTTGGGCGAAATGAGTTCTGTACTTCTTTGTTTGATGAAGCGATACTGATGCCACATGTCGCCATAATGAGGCCACAATGAAGCGAAGCGATGACCGCCTCAACTTTTTATGTCGCGGACATTGAAGTACGCTGAAGCCATAACAATGCCATAATGATGCGATGCTGAAGCGAAGCTGACGCTGAAGTGAAGCCAAAGTTTCCGCGAGAACTGTACTGTATGCAAGTGGTCATTACACGATGGAGTAGGCAAGTGGTCATTAAACAGTGGAGTAGGCTAGTGGTCATTACACGTTGGAGTTGGCAAGTGGTCATTACATGGTGGCCTTGGCATGTGGTCAATGCATATGGTGGATTAGGCAAGTGGTCATTACACGATGGAGTAGGCAAGTGGTCATTATACAATGGAGTAGGCAAGTGGTCATTACACAGTGAAGTAGGCAAGTGGTCATTATAGAATAGAGAAGGCAAGTGGTCATTATACGATAGAGTAGGCAAGTGGTAATTACACGGTGGAGTAGGCAAGTGGTAATTACACGGTGGAGTAGGCAAGTGGTAATTACACGGTGGAGTAAGCAAGTGGTAATTACACGGTGGAGTAGGCAAGTGGTCATTACACAGTGGAGTAGGCAAGTGGTCATTACAGAGTGGAGTAAGAAAGTGGTCATTATACAATGGAGTAGGCAAGTGGTCATTATACAATGGAGTGGGCTAGTGGTCATTACACAGTGGAGTTGGCAAGTGGTCATTACATGATGGCCTTGGCATATGGTCATTACACGATGGAGTAGGCAAGTGGTAATTACACGGAGTAGGCAAGTGGTCATTACACGGTGGAGTAGGCAAGTGGTCATTACACGGTGGAGTAGGCAAGTGTTCATTACACGGTGGAGTAGGCAAGTGGTCATTATACAATAGAGAAGGCAAGTGGTCATTATATGATAGAGTAGGCAAGTGGTCATTACACAATGGAGTAGGCAAGTGGTCATTACACGATGGAGTAGGCAAGTGGTCATTACATGGTGGAGTATCAAGTGGTCATTACACAGTGCAATAGGCAAGTGGTCATTATACAATGGAGTAGGCAAGTGGTCATTATACAATGGAGTAGGCAAGTGGTCATTACACAATGGAGTGGGCTAGTGGTCATTATACAATGGAGTGGGCTAGTGGTCATTACACGGTGGAGTAGGCAAGTGGTAATTACACGGTGGAGTAGGCAAGTAGTAATTACACGGTGGAGTAGGCAAGTAGTCATTACACGGTGGAGTAGGCAAGTGGTCATTTCATGGTGGAGTAGGCAAGTGGTCATTACACGGTAGAGTAGGCAAGTGGTCAATACGCGGTGGAGTAGGCAAGTGGTTATTATACAATGGAGTAGGCAAGTGGTCATTACACAATGGAGAAGGCAAGTGGTCATGACATGGTGGAGTAGGCAAGTAGTCATTACACGATGGAGGAGGCAAGTGGTCATTACACGGTGGAGTAGGCATGTGGTCATTACATGGTGGAGTAGGCAAGTGGTCATTACACAATAGAGAAGGCAAGTGGTCATTACATGGTGGAGTAGGCAAGTGGTCAAGTATAATTTTGCACGTAAGCATTTAGAAGTGTTATTATATTTGTTTGCATACAGTCAGACTATTTCGCCATTCTCAATTCGATTCATAACATTTTAGGCAAACAAACACACCTTCATCACTCTGAGATCTCTTATCAACAGACACCTTCTGTTTCTTGTTGTTATTCTTGGGGAGAATATCTTCATCAGATGAACTATCATCATCAATCTCGGACTGTGAGTCTTTCTTTTTAGGGTCGTCCTGCAATTGTTTAAACAAAAAACAATTAACAACTTCACAAATATCAAAGAATGATAAGATTAGAAAAATATTTGTTTTCAAGTGAGACAGTTCCCATTAATTTTGTTAAGTGTCTTCATGTGCTCAACCTAAGACACAGCACAAAGAAAACGTTGAACAAAAGTGAAAGTGAAGCAACTTGAGGTGCATGTCTTCTGTGAGTATTGGGGACAAATACAAAATTAATTCAAAAATTACTTGTACTTCAGATATTGATAGAAAAGCTGAAAATAATTATACAAATCAGATAATTAATAGGCACAGATTTGAGTGTAAAACTAATATAAAGTCTACGCAATATCAAGTTTCAATGAAATGCAATTAGAACCAAAAAATTAAGAATTATTTTGCTAATTAGGGAATTCAACAGATTTTAACCCAAAAATAATCAATTCTGTGCATTGTCTTAGAGCAACCAAGTAACATGT